GTGCCTGCCATCATGCCTGGCTAATTTTTATATTTTAAGGAGAGAGGGGGATTCCCCATGTTGGCCAGGCTGGTCCCAAACTCCTGACTTCAAGTGATCCGCCCACCTTGGCCTCTCAAAGTGCTGGAATTACAGGCGTGAGCCACTGTGCTGGCCCTCCTCTTCTTTTTTTTTTTTAGTTTTGTTTGAGACGGAGTTTCACTCTTGTTGTTGCGCAGGCTGGTGTGCAATGGCGTGATCTCACCTCACCACAACCTCCACCTCCAGGGTTCAAGCGATTCTACTGCCTCGGCCTCCCAACTAGCTGAGATTACAGCCATGCAACACCACACCAGCTAATTTTGTTTTTTGCTTTGTTTTGTTTTGTTTTTTGTTTTAGTAGAAATAGGGTTTCTCCATGTTGGTCAGCCTGGAAACTCCCAACCTCAGGTGATTCGCCCACCTCGGCCACCCAACGTGTTGGGATTACAGGCGTGAGCCACCGAGGCCAGCCTCTCTTTTCAACGTAGTACTGAAGGTCCAAGCAAGAGCAATAAGGCAAGAGGAAGAAATAATGGCACCTTAACTGGAAATGAAAAAGTGAGATTATTTCTCTTTGCTAACGACACAATTATATATGGAAAATCCAAAAGATTCAAGAAACTGTACAACTGAAAAAGGAATTCAGTACCAGTGCAGGATGCAAAATCAACGTTTAAAAATCATTTCACACTGAGAAACAGTTCTGTTAAAAAAAAGAAAACTAAAAAACCTAAAACAAAAAGTAGCATTTACATGTAATTATCCAAAAAAGAATCAAGAAAACATCTCATTAATTAAAACAAAACATCGTGATGAAAAAATAAATAAAAATAAATAAAAAAAAGAAAACAATTTCATTTAAAATAGCAACAACAAATAAAATACATGGTACAATAACCAAGAAGATGAAAGACTTCCATACTGAAAACTACCTTTAATTTTAATTTTTTTTTTAAGAGACAAGAGTCTCGCCGGGCGCGGTGGCTCACGCCTGTAATCCCAGCACTGTGGGAGGCCGAGGCAGGTGGATCACGAGGTCAAGAGATCGAGACCAACCTGGTCAACATGGTGAAGCCCTGTCTCTACTAAAAATACAAAAAATTAGCTGGGCATGGTGGCATGTGCCTGTAATCCCAGCTACTCAGGAGGCCGAGGCAGGAGAATTGCCTGAACCCAGGAGGCGGAGGTTGCGGTGAGCCGAGATCGCGCCATTGCACTCCAGCCTGGGTAACAAGAGCGAAAGAGACAAAAGTCTCACTTTGTCACCCAGCTGGAGTGCAGCCATGTGATCATAGCGTACTGCAGCCTCGACCTCCCAGCCTCCTGTGGTGGTGGCACACCTGTAATCCCAGCTACCCGGGAGGCTGAGACAGGAAAATCACTGGAACCCAGGAGGCGGCGGTTGCAGTGAGCCGAGATTGCGCCACTGCAGTCCAGCCTGGGGGACAGAGCAAGACTCCCATCTCAAAAAAAAAAAAAAAAAAAAAAGCAATATTCAAGAACTGGAATAGACATTTATCCAAAGATAAGCACACGTTCAACATCGTTAGTCATTTAAGGAAATATAAATCAAAACCAAAATGAGACATTACTTCACACATACTCAGACTGCTATAATCAAATTAAGCATTGGAGAGGATATGGAATAATTAGAACTCTTGTGCATTGCTACTGGGAAAGTAAAATGCATCTGGTGTGAAAAACAGTTTGGCAGTTCTCAAAACATTAAACACAGAACTACGACATGACCCAGCAATTCCTCTCCTTAGTATGTATCTGAAAGAACTGAAAGCAGGATCTGGAGGAAGTACTTGTATACCCATGTTCACAGCAGCATTGCTCATGAAAGCCAAAATGTAGAAAGAACCCAAGTGTCCATCAACAGCTGAATGGATAAACTAAGTATGATACGTACCTACAATTGAGTAACATTCAGCCATCGAAAGGAATTTATTTATTTGGACAGAATCTCACTCTGTCTCTCAGGGTCGAGCGTAATGGTACAATCTCAGCTCACTGCAACCTCTACCTCCCAGGTTCAAGTGATCCTCCTGCCAGCTGGACTACAGGAATGGACCACCAAGCCCTGCTAATTTTTGTATTTTTTTTTTGAGACGGAGTTTCGCTCTTGTTACCCAGGCTGGAGTGCAATGGCGTGATCTCGGCTCACCGCAACCTCCGCCTCCTGGGTTCAGGCAATTCTCCTGCCTCAGCCTCCTGAGTAGCTGGGATTACAGGCACGTGCCACCATGCCCAGCTAATTTTTTGTATTTTTAGTGGAGACGGGGTTTCACCATGTTGACCAGGATGGTCTCGATCTCTTGACCTCGTGATCCACCCGCCTCGGCCTCCCAAAGTGCTGGGATTACAGGCTTGAGCCACCGCGCCCGGCAATTTTTGTATTTTTTATACAGACTGGGTTTCACCATGCTACCCTGGTCTTGAACTCGTAGGCTCAAGCAATCTGCTCGCCTTGGTCTCCCAAAGTGCTGGGATTACAGGTGTGAGCCATGGCAACTGGCCAGGAATTAAATTTTGATACATGCTACAACATGGATGGATTCTGACAATACTATGCTGAGTAAAGTAAGCTAGACAAAGAATAAATATTGTATGACTCCACTTACATGAGAATAGCCAGATTCATAGGGACAAAAAGTGGAACAGAGGTCTCTAAGGGCTAGGAAAGAGGACAAGGCAGAGTTATTCTTCTCCTTTTTTTTTTTTTTGAGACGGAGTTTCACTCATGTTA